GGAAAGGTCGTGGAGGGAAAGGCTGGGTCTGTCTCTCCCTGCAGGATACAGACCCAGATGTGTTGCCTTGACCTTGTGATGAACAACTCCACTCTCCCCAAAGAGGCTAGGGTTCCCATGAGGGCCAGACATCCCCCATAACAGCTGCAGAGCTGCTCATATGGCCCCATGAGGCCTGGTCCTAAAGCCACGGGCCCCTCATCTGCCTTTCCAGCCTGCAGAGAGTGTGGTGGCCCCAGTTTCTTACCAACACTCATTCTGGACCACAGAGCCCATGAGGACAGCAGTCAGGAGAGCCCAGGGCACCTGGACACCCGGTTTTCTCCAGGCAATGCTTCCTGGAAGAGTTGCCCTGGTGTGGAAGCTTCAGAACCAAGAGGACTTTGAACAGGCCAAAATGGAGCAGACACAGAAACTCAGGGCATGGAGAATGGGCCAGCAAAGGCAGTGGTTCTTACCAGTGGCATTTGGGAAATGGCGAGCAGTGCCCAGCAGCCAGAGTACCCGGTATTCTCAGGGGCTACTAGGGCCTCAGCTCCAGAACCACCCAAGGTCCCTTGCATCCCAGGCTCAGGACCCAACAGACACTGAAGGGTGTGGTAAGATGTGGCCTTCCCTTCAGCTCAGTGTCACTCCACTCTGTGCAGACCGACTCCCAGTCTCAGGGTCCAGAGCCCTGGGAGCCAGGTCCTGCTATGGGCACAGAAGAGGGCTATAAGACATCCTGACAATTCTTTGGAAATCCTGACCCCCACCATGGCTTTGACCACCTCTTGTCAAATACACTGCAGTTCCCAGGACATAAACATCCACATGCGACCTCCATAAAAGCTACTTTTGCTTACAAAGAAATCCTCAAGGCACCCTGGGCCACCTCTGCTTGCAACTTGGGCTGAGGGAAGTGCATCCTAACCTTTGGGAGGCTGGCACTTCAGTCCGGTTGCTGTGGGAGGACAGGCTTCATTCAGCTGTGCTTGCTCATGCCTTCCCTTTCAGGAGCATGGGGGAAGCATTTGCCGGCCCTGGGGGATCTCCAGCAGGACCCACCCCCTCTGAACCCAGCTCTGTCTTGGTCCTCACTTCTGCCCCATTGCCTCATACCTCATACTCCCTGTTTTAGAGACATCCTGGTTGGACTTGACCCCTGCCCACTGCCCAACAACTTCCCATAGCTCGTTAGCTAAAAGACCACTTTATCCCCTACCTCCATGCCCAGCTCAGATGCCTAAACTCCCTCCCTAGGTCCATATCCCAGATTTCTGCTTCCTCAGGAGGCCACATGAGACCCTCCGGTGTTAGACCTCTTCCTAAATCAGCAGTGGCTCATCAATTTCATCTCACTAGTCAGCTCCCATTCCTTTGGCATCAGTTTTCTAGAGGACTGTGTGCAGAAGGGTTCTGGTGCTACGTGTAGGCTCAGTGGTTGTTTAGTGATTGTTCAGTGATGTCTGCTGTGAGCATAATGGGGAAGAATGTGCCACAGTGTGCCGTATCTGGGCAAGATTCTTTGGGCATTTTAGTAGATGCAAACCTGAGATGTGTCCGTCCCCAGTCCCGTTCCGTGCACAGCCTTAGGCTGGGCTCTGTAAGGAAATGCAGGAGGAAGGGAAAGTCCCACCCTTTGACCCATATTTTTGCCAGGCCAGCTAGGAAGTGGGGAACACTGAATGCATTGATTGAGCTTCTCCTCTATACATGAGAAGGACAAAATATCATGCAGGTTCTGAGGTCCATAGCGGTGAAGTAGCTTGCCAGGGGGTGGCACAGCCCCCTGAGCCTAGTGGAGCCTCATGAAGTTGTTAAGAGATAACATACAACTCTGTGGAGTAGGCCTCATGGAGTGGAGCCACAGTCAGAGCGGACCGTCAGAGGAGAGGGGAGCAATGACAGAGAGCAGCCTGGGTGGGTCAGAGGGCTAAGAATGTCTCCTGTGTTTGGTGAACAGTGAGCTGGGTTTTGAAGCAGGTGAACCGAGAGAGCTGGGACAGGTCAGAGGGAAGTGATCCCTAGAGCCGGCATTCGAGCCTAAGATTCCAGGGCTCAGGACTAAAAGCAGACTTGGCCCAGGGTTGCACTTGCTTTCCATCCTCCTCAACAGAGGATGAGGACATTCTCTGACCACACAGACTAAAGGGGACCACCACCTACCCCATTACACTCCTCTCAGCACCCCAATTATCACCACAACTTGTAATTCCCTGTTTTATGGATGGATCCACATTGTCTTGTGTGTCTGTCCCAGTGGTCTGTGAGCCCCATGAAGGTAGGGACTGGGTTTGTCTTGTTCACTCTGTCTCCATAATCTAACTCAGCCCAGCAATAGGGTCGTCGTGGTTGTCCAGTTAGAGCATACACTGTGGTAGGCAGGGGCTACACCCTCACACCTGCAGGCCGAGCAGATAAAGTGAGCAAGGTGGGCAAGTGAAAGACTCTGGCCCAGCCAACAGGTGGCATGGTGATTAGGACACTGGATTCCCACATGGTTGACAGCGGTTTGAGTCCCAGACCTGGCAGCTTGAAAATCACAACAAATGAATCAATCAATAAAAAAAATGTTTGAAGGAAGGAAAGAAATGAAAGAACATCTCTGGCCAAGAGACAACAGCAGTGGGACATGGTCCTCAAGTCATGCTCAGAGCCGACATCACTGTGGACCTTCCATTGCATTGATATACAGTCACGGGCTGCATGATGACATTCCAGTCCACGATGGACCACGTAGATGATGGCCATCCCAAAAGATGATCCGAGGCCACACTGTATACCGTCGGTGTGGAGTAGGCTGTACTGTCTAGGTCTGCGTAACTACACTCCATGATGTTCATACAATGAAACTATTCAGTGATGCATTTCTTAGAATGTGTCCCTGTCCTTATGCTACTCATGACCGTATATGCGAACTGTTTTCATATAAACAAGGGAATATCTTTCACATCCCCAAAGAAATAGTACTTCTCCATTTTGCTAGAACTAATGATATTCTCTGTCCTTCTTTGTTGAACTACTTTTGCTAAAGTTACAAATATAGAGAAATACTCCCCACTTCATGGGAAAACAACAGGCCAGGTATGAAGATACATCAGCCTCAGCATTGGGTGGCCCAGTAGTTCTCAAAGTGGGTCCTGTGCCAGACATCAGCTGCACCTGGGAACTTGTTAGACATTCTCAGGTAAATTCTCAGACCTACCCCAGACCCACTGAAACATAAACTCAGGTGTGGTATAAAAAAAATCTGTTTTCATAAACCCTCCAGGTGATTTTCTTGCCTGCTCAAGTTTGAGACCTTGTGCAATAGGGAGTGGTGGAAATTGTGGTAAACCAGAGGGCACATAATATGGCCTAAAAGGGCCCCTGTTGCTCAGCTCCAGCCCACAGATGCCTTGTAGACATATGAGCCTGGTATACGGCTAGCAAGCCCCAGAAAGAAACCATGGGTCCCGGTTAGCCTTCCTAGACTAGCTCTAAAGGCCGGCCCAGCCCCTACACTACCCGGGAACTCAGAGATCCCCACCTATTGTGTGGGACTGCTTCGGAGGTCTCAAATTCCACCCAAGGCCTACAGGGCCCACCCAGCACTTCTCTGGTCAGAGGACAAACAAACTTGAACAGGTAAAATTCTGGGCCCTGATGATCAGGCAAAGTACAAGTCTGGGAGTGGACAGAGAGTAAATTCCCCATTCCTGAGCCCCAGGGCTCATAGGCATTCTCTCTCGTTTTTGCAACCTCTCCATTAGGGGTCAATATGTACATGTTAAAGAGGAGGAAAGAGGGGTTTCGAGAGGTCGAGTGATTTGCCCTAAGTCACAGGACTAGAAAATGAAGGCCATGAGCCCGTTTACCTGGCCCAACCTGTGCTGAATCTACTCTCCCATATTGCCAGCCAGCTGAAGGATGGGAAGGAGGCAGGGAAATGACCAGGGCCAGACTGCTGCTCCCCTTCTCACTAGCCTGCCTCCCCGATAGGGCTTCAATTCCAACAGCAGTCACCGGCAGTGCTGCAGCAGTGAGACATAATGGGGAAGGCAGCAAACCCACCCCCTGCTTCTGCGTCAGGGGGCTCTGTTCCACATGCAGATATGCAACCCAGAGCCAGGGACATCAGGAGCCAGGGCCGGCCTAATGGAGAGGGCCAGGGCTGGCAGGGTGCTGACCCAGCCAAGCAGCAGGGGCCCACTGTGCGTGAGGCACAGCCTTGCCTCATCAACCTTCTTCCCCAAGGCCCAGCCAACTGCGTTGCACTGGCCTGGGTGGACCCATGTGAGGAGGTGTGGTTGCCAGGGAAGCCAGAAATGACTTATTCCTTCCTATGTCTCTGACACCAGGCAGTCACGAGCCCCCAGAATGTCTGACTGGCCCACGCCTTGTCCCCAAATACAGGAGCCCACAAAGGCTCCCATATGCCAAGCCGAGGTGTCTCCATACAGAGGGTGCTCGCCCAGGCTGGGCTCTGGTCAGACTTGGCTCAGACTCAGCTCTCGCCAGGCATGAGTCAGCGCTGTCAGCCTGTGTGTGGCCACAGCTGGCTGGATGCTGAGGCCATCCGGGCCAGGCCCTGGAGGTCCGCTGGGGCCCTGAGGCCTCACTAATGGGGAGAGATGGCCCCAAATGACCCACAGGGTCACATAAGGGAGAAAAAAAAAAAGGACAAGTGGAAAAGAGCTGAGCACAAAGAATATCAAATTGTAAAGTGGCAGAAGCAAATTCAGTCAGGAAAATGGCCACCACACACACGCGCGCGCACACACACACACCACCACCACCACCACCAGCCCAGCCATGGGCACGCACTGGTGTATCCTACATGCCAGACTGACTGCACATGCACCCCGCACCGGGCCATGCATACACATCCCTGCAGGGGCCCAGCTTCTGCCGCACACAGCTCTGCAGTACTCAGCACACACAGACGCGCCGAGAGAAGCCCCAGCAGGCAAAGCCACTCCACGCGCACGGCCTGCCTGCGGTGTCAGCTTCTGGCAGGCCCAAGGAATGTGACTCACAACCCCCGGCTTGCGTGTACATCCAGGTTAGGGAACATCGTATCACATGAGGGCTGTGATGCTCGGGAGGCCTGTGATCAAGGACAGGCCTGGGGACTCGGGTCCTGTGCCCTCCCGGGCCCGGCTCCCTGCCAAAGGCGCAGTCCAAGCGCCGGCCCGGCCCTGCAGCTTCAGCCGTCCGCAGCCAGCCTGGCTTCTGTGCCCCGCCAGGAGGTCGCGGCGCGGAGCGCGGCCAGGAAGTCAGCTCGGAGTGACAGCTCCCCCCCACGCTGTTTGTTTATTCATGACTCATTCGTCTCCACAGACTGGCTCTTCTTTCTTTCGGGAGGAGGGAAGAAAGAAGCGGGAGGCAGGGAGGGCGGGAGCGAGGGAGGGGAACGAGAAGGGGGAGAGGCGGGCTCCACAATAAACAATGAGGCAGCTGAGCCGGCCGCGGCGGGAGGAGCCGCCGGCCAGCCCGGGTCCTGCGCGCGGGATCCGCGCTCCTCCCGCCCGCCCCTCCCCATCCTACCCGGCCCTTCGCAACCTCCAGGCGACGGGGCTGGAGCAGCGGTAATTGGATCCTTGCCGCCTCCTCCCAGCTCCCCGCCCCCAATCGGGGAGCCGGGTAAATGCCGGGTACCTTGGCAAAACAGTCGGATCCAAACCTATTATTTGGCTAATGGGCTTCCCCCGTGCGGCTCAGCTACACCCTGCGGACCGGCCTCCTCCCCCAATTCCCAGGGATGGCCCTGGTGTCCCTCCGCGCCCCAGCCTCCCCGCGCTGGCCCCAGAGGGGACTCGGCGGAGGCTCCGGATAACTGGAGGAAGCGCGGGTTCCGAGGCTTCAAGGGCCTCATTGTTCTGCCTCGAGGGGCACATTGAAAATGCTCCAGGATTTGCTTCCTGTGAAAACAGCCTGCGAGGGAGGGGGCGATCCACGGTGGAGAGACATTATCCTCCTGGAAGCTGCCCAGATTACACAGGGAGAAAAAGGTTGTTTTGATTGTTGCTGGCTCTTTTCTCCTTTCCTTTTTCTTTCTTTCTTTTTCCCTCCTCTCCTGTCTTTCGCTCCCCTCCCTGGGGCCAAAGAGGAATCTCTATGGCTGTTGAGCAGGTCGAAAATGGGGGGTGGGGGGTCTGCATAAATAGGGCTGGTGAATGGCAGAGCCAGATATAAAGTCTGATTCAGAGAAATTCAAAAGAATGCAGGGGCGATGAGGTGGGCAAATCCAAGGAACTCATTTCCCCAGCATCCCCTCTGAGTCACGTCTTGCACCATGAGGGGAAAACACATCACGCCACAATATGTCACATGCCTGCAGCAAAGGATCAGGCCGGTGGAGACACACAGCTCCTTCCTCCCTGGCCTAGGACCGCCCATCCAGAGCCACACAAGGCAAGGGTCTGGTCTCAAACCCTCTCCCGCTCCTAAGTGACCTGGAAGATAACCACAGTGCACCCTTGCACAGCGCCTCCTATGTGCAGGGGGCTGTTCTGCAGGCTTCACGCTCATTACCCATGTAATCCTCAGCACAGCCCGGTAAGGCAAGTGCTCTTATTATCGTCATTTCCAGATAAGGAAGCTGAGCCCAGAAAGGTTAAGAAACTGCCCAGAGTCACACAGACTGCCCGGCTGGCTCCCTGGCCTATGGTCTTAGCTTCTGTGCTGACTCTTCAGAGCCTCAGACTTGTCATCAGGAAATGGAGATGATGACAGGGACCTCATTAGGGGCCAGGAGGATGCAATAAGAAAACCCAGGCAAAGCGTTCAGGACAGCATTGAGTGTTAGTGCGTGCTCATATAGGGACAAAAGAGGACAGTTTCTTCCTAACACGCCAGGTTGTCATGAGGGGTCATAGCGCTGACTAAAAAGGCTGCCCCTAGTGCAGTGTCTGGCCCTTAACTTGTGCCCATAATATTCGTTTTCTTTTTTCTTCTTCCTTTTCCCATCACTTTTTTTTTTTTTTTTTTTTTTAGATTTGTGCTATAGGGTGTGTGCACTCACCAGAGATACAGAGAGAGTCAGAGAGACAGAAAGCGAGAAATCATCCCCCAAGGGGTTGGCTACACCATAACCCTTTTTCCCCAGTCTCCTTTCGGGATTTCGGGCACACACGTCCATGCGCCCAGCATGAGTTTAAGTCACCAGGTCTGGGGCTCGAACCACACTTGACTACATGGGAGTCCAGCAACGTAACCATTACACCATCTGCTAGTCCTTTTCTTTTCCCATCACTTCTTACCGAACATCGATCTTTTGAGACGAGATCTTCTTGTCTGCAAACTCTCCCACATAACACCCTTCAGAGCAACCAGGGGGGCCCCTGCACGCACACACATCCTCAACCTCTGCTGCCCACTTGTCTGCCTACGTGAACTTTCTCACAGACCCAGGCCGAACCTGAGCCTTCCCTGAACTCCTTCTGTAAATTGCCCCATTCCCCCAGTCTGCCCACCCCCTCCATCTGCACAACTCCTGGCCTCTCTTATATGCTCTGCCTTTTCTTTTGGCCATGGCCTCGTTACACTCTGAGACACTCTAAAACTCACATTTTCTCATGTTTTGATTTTGCTGCCCCCTCCCCCATCAGCAGTTGGAATGTAAGCTCCAGAAAAGTAGGGACTGTCCTTTTGTTTTATTTAGTATTCCACGCACGGCAGTCACCGTGACACTGAAATCCTCCATGAGTATTTGTGGTGTGAAGGAGTGGGTCTTCGCATGGGCTGTTCCCTCTTGCTGACCACTCGTCCCCTCACTCGGATCATTTGCTTGCTTTATTTACCGGAAACTCCTACTTGTCCCACAGGCTCCTGCCTCTGGAAATGTTGCACTGTACGTCTCACCCTGCACCCTTGCTACGTGCCTGTCCCTGGGTTACCTCTCTCCTCTGCTCTTTGCTGTCCCCAGTTCGACCTGCCTTCCTTCCCAAGCCTCCCCACAGGCCCTTCTGGAATCCTGCTTTCTTTAAGAACCTCTCTGTACTTGGCCTCTTGATGAAAACCTGGGGGTTTGTGATGCGTATCCCTTGTCCTCTCTGTCCTCACCTCTTTGAGGAGGCTATTCCTGTCTCTACGCCTCTCTTTCTTGAGTGTTCTTCAAGGTCCCCATACCCCTTTCATATCCCAGGGCTGTTTCCAGACCGTGATTCCATCACCCCCACAGGATGGGATTTTTCTGCTGAGACTCCTGCCACCCCACTCGGCTACCTTCTCCACATGGCTCTCACGGCTCACCTCTAGCCAGCCCCTCTTCACTTAGATCACGGTCTCTCCTTCCCCCTCCAAAGCTTGCCTTCAGCCCATGGTCTTTAGCATGGGGGAGAGCACATCATAACGCAATATGTCCCGTGCTTGTACATTTGGGTGGTCCATCCAGCACCTGGACCTTCCAGACCTTCAGCTCTCCTCTTCATGGGCCATCTTCCCACCTGGGTCCAGCCTCCAATTCCATGGCCTACCCTGGACCAGGCAAACACTCCTTTTCTTCCATTTTCCCCTGTCCAACATTCTCCAGCTGTTCCAGTGGTTGGGTCATCTGAATGACCCTCTCGCCAGCACCCATGAATCCTTGGTACACCATCTTTCCTTTCATCCATCTAGCCAAGCGTCACCCAGAGACAGCCCAACCACCATCCTTGCACTGTAAGCTCAGGCTGGCAAAAACTCAATGTGTGAAAGTGGAGACCAATGTCAAGTGAGTCTCCTGTCTCAGTGGCCCATCAGCATGACTCCAAAGTCCTCTGGCCTGCCCTGGCCAGCCTCCCTCTCCATTTCCCTCAGGGACTCTTTGCCTCAATGACATTCACCCCCTTCTTCATGGTCCCTGTCCATTCTGCCTACCTTGACTCTCAGAGATATGTGGCTTCAAGAATGTGAAGGCCTTCCCGTGTGGCCTGCTGTCCCTTCCCCACGTCCAAACATCCCCATCCTGATTTCTCTCCATCTAGAATCAGAGGGAAAGGCCTCTCTTCTTCTCATCGGAAAATCCACTTATGTGCTGGGCCCACTGCTCTAGGACCTCCATCCATGACCCCCTCTCTCCTGGGCCTACAGGATCTCCCTCCATACCAAGGCTCCATACCAAGGCTTTCCCTCTCTACCAAGCCTCCATACGTGCTCGCATCTGTCCCATCCCAGGCAGACTTTCCTTGGCCCTCGTCTCCCCTGGCGGGCCTTTTTCAGCTCTTTTCCTATCAGCAGCTCTGCAGCAGTCAGCGTAGTTACCTGCTGCCATGTCCTCACGCGGCCAGCATGGCCACACCATTTCTGCATAACCTCCTATGTCTCTGATCACCCCTAATCGCCTGTGGGGCCCTCCCTTCCTCCACCTGTCCCCTAAAGGTCAGAGTTCCCAAGGATGGACCCCCTTCCCCCTTGACACCATCTTCCTTTCCCTTCTGACCACACCTGTGGTTTCCATCTCTGCCATGTGCTCATCCTCTCCACAGCTACGTGTCTGACTCTGTCCTCTCCCTGTCTGCCAGACCCTAGGTTTCCGGCTGCAGCCTGGGATCCTCTGGCTTCCTTAACATCTCATGGGCACCTGAGACTCACCCAGTCTCAACCTGGGATCAGCCTGGAGTTTGCTCCACCCCTGAATTCCCCTGGGCTGGTTGCATCACTGCTCAGCCAGCTCACAAGGCCAGCCTGGACTCCTCCCTCTCCCTCACCCACACATCCAGTCGGGCACTGGGTCCCTGACAACTTAACCTCCCGCAAATTTCTCAATTCATTCCTCCCGCTTGTCTGTCCAGTACCACAGCCCAAGGTCAAGACCTCATGGCCTCTTGCCTGCTTATTGCAACAGCCGCCCTGCCCCTCACCTCTGCTCACCCTGAGTCAGCTGCCACACTACTGCCACGGTCACTGTTGCAAATTCATATCCAGACACGCCACTTGCTAGCTCAAAACCTATACATAGGATGGGGCCAGGCTTGTAGCCTAGTGGTTAAGGAAGGCCGGATCCTATAAGACAGACCACAGTTCAAATTCCAGCCCCAGAGGTATGGAAGACATACTGCATGCAGGTACATATGTGCCCCAAATCCTGACAGGATGGACAGATGGAAGGGAGGGGTGAGAGAGTGGCCATGCCCTATCAGGGCGTGCTTTCTCCTTTTTTTCTGTCTCTCTGTCCCTCTCTGGAGAGTATGCATGCACTCTGGCAATTAAAAAAAAGAAAAGAAAGATAGGATGACAGCAAACTGCTAAGGTCACTAAGCTGTAGGGCTTGTCCCCTCTGAGACCCCTAGCGTCCTTTCCCTCCCCTCTGAGCCTGGGCATAAATTATCACAACGAAAAGCAATGAACAGTTTACAGAGCTTTGTGTCTTTCTAATTTTGTTCACTCATTTCCATCTGCTTACAGTGCCCTTCTCCATTTTTAATCCATTTCATTCATTCTTATCTTTCAAGATTATCTCAGTGCCTCTCCTTCCAGGAAGCCTTCCCTGACTGCCCCTGCTCCCATTCAAGGTAAGATGCTCTGCCATGAGGAGGATTATTCTTTTGGAAGTATTTGTGTAGGTGGCCCTCTTCCCCATAAATTACAGGAGTCTTCCTTCACAGCTGTGCCCTCAGGACCCAGAACCTAACTGGTACTCAGCAGAGGTGAGATGGAGGTGAAGTGGAAGCCTGGCACACAGTGGGTGCCTAACTGATGTTTAACTACCCTCCCCAGGCCCTGCCCTAAGCAGGCAGCTCCTCCCTCCACCCTTTAAAAATATTGAAAATGTATTGTCTTGCGAGGTGAGCCATCCTTTTTAGGGGGTGAGTGGGTGCCTGGGGATACCATCACAGCTTTGGAAACAAGCAGTGTACAATTTTGGACCAAATCTAAGCCGGCTCTTCCACCCACTTCATCTCAGCTTTTCACTGGCGTCTCTCACGGACTCTCCCCTTCTCCCTCTCAGCCTTCAACCAGTACCACAGCCCAAGGTCAAGACCTCATGGCCTCTTGCCTGCTTATTGCAACAGCCGCCCTGCCCCTCACCTCTGCTCACCCTGAGTCAGCTGCCACACTACTGCCACGGTCACTGTTGCAAATTCATATCCAGACACGCCACTTGCTAGCTCAAAACCTATACATAGGATGGGGCCAGGCTTGTAGCCTAGTGGTTAAGGAAGGCCGGATCCTATAAGACAGACCACAGTTCAAATTCCAGCCCCAGAGGTATGGAAGACATACTGCATGCAGGTACATATGTGCCCCAAATCCTGACAGGATGGACAGATGGAAGGGAGGGGTGAGAGAGTGGCCATGCCCTATCAGGGCGTGCTTTCTCCTTTTTTTCTGTCTCTCTGTCCCTCTCTGGAGAGTATGCATGCACTCTGGCAATTAAAAAAAAGAAAAGAAAGATAGGATGACAGCAAACTGCTAAGGTCACTAAGCTGTAGGGCTTGTCCCCTCTGAGACCCCTAGCGTCCTTTCCCTCCCCTCTGAGCCTGGGCATAAATTATCACAACGAAAAGCAATGAACAGTTTACAGAGCTTTGTGTCTTTCTAATTTTGTTCACTCATTTCCATCTGCTTACAGTGCCCTTCTCCATTTTTAATCCATTTCATTCATTCTTATCTTTCAAGATTATCTCAGTGCCTCTCCTTCCAGGAAGCCTTCCCTGACTGCCCCTGCTCCCATTCAAGGTAAGATGCTCTGCCATGAGGAGGATTATTCTTTTGGAAGTATTTGTGTAGGTGGCCCTCTTCCCCATAAATTACAGGAGTCTTCCTTCACAGCTGTGCCCTCAGGACCCAGAACCTAACTGGTACTCAGCAGAGGTGAGATGGAGGTGAAGTGGAAGCCTGGCACACAGTGGGTGCCTAACTGATGTTTAACTACCCTCCCCAGGCCCTGCCCTAAGCAGGCAGCTCCTCCCTCCACCCTTTAAAAATATTGAAAATGTATTGTCTTGCGAGGTGAGCCATCCTTTTTAGGGGGTGAGTGGGTGCCTGGGGATACCATCACAGCTTTGGAAACAAGCAGTGTACAATTTTGGACCAAATCTAAGCCGGCTCTTCCACCCACTTCATCTCAGCTTTTCACTGGCGTCTCTCACGGACTCTCCCCTTCTCCCTCTCAGCCTTCAACCCCAGCATCTTCCCTCTCAGCTCTCCCTGGCTCAGCTTGTCCCATGCACAGAACCAGCGTGGGGCCAAGAAAATGCATCCAGCAGGAGCAAAGAGCAGGGTCTTCACCAGCTCTGGTGCTGACCCCGTAGTACTTTGGCACCTCCTACACTGTGCCTCGGTTTCCACCTTACGAAGGATAGAACCAGAAGATCCCCCCAGACCTTGAAGCTCCACATACAGAATTCCTGGAGACTACGAATGTGGGTGGAGCCCTGGATCATTATGGGACTCATAAGTTGACCACATCCCTGTCCACAGAGAGCCCCAAATTACAACCTCCTCTTTTCTCTCCCCTTTATGCATTTTGCTCTTCGATTGCAGTTGCAAGACAACTGTGTTTTTTTTTTTTTTTAAATCCAAACAGGCCAGGGCCGCCAGCTCCAGCTACGAAGGCGATGGAAGAGGGAGGAGGGCTGTTTTTGGTGTAGTCACTAAGCTCGAGTCTAATCCTGGAAAATCAAATAGAGACATGACTTGGCCCTTCTGAGCTGGTTTGACCCCACAGACACAGGGCAATCCCTGCTGTGGTGGCATTTGTGTTTTCATGCCAACATCGCAGAATGAGAGCCGGAGCACGATTCGTGCGTGCTCAGATGATCGGCAAGACTTGGTCACTGACTTGAGGTACCCAGCCAGCCCTGGGTTTGGGGGTCCAGCTCTAGAGAAGGGGAGGTGGGAGGCAGCCCTACCTCAGTCAGCCCAGAGAGCATTGGCTGTCGGAGGCCCGGAACATTTGGAAAGAGCGGTGCAAGATTTAAAGAGAGGGCGAGGAGCAGAAACAGTGTCGAGAAGAGCCAAGCCATGCTTTTGATCATGTCATTCCTAAAAGGCTCCTCGGCTCCCTGCTGTCAAGGGGACGAAGTGCAGACTCCCTGGACTGACATGCAGAGGCCTTCTCACAATGACCCCGAGGTGACCTCTCCCCTCCTGCACCCTCCACCCTGCTCCCACCTCCTGTGCATGTCCTGGGGGTCAGTCTGGATGGCCCGATGTGCCAGGCTCTCTCGTTTCCCAGTGGCTTTGCACATGCCAGTCCATATCTGAAACACTCTCCTTCATCTCATCTTCAGGGAAAATTCCTTCTTATTCTTTCAGGCCCACCTCCTGTGTCCTTTCTCCACAGAGCCTGCACCAGTCCCCCAGCTGGAATTGAACCATTTATCCTCCAATTCTGCAGAGCGGTGTTTTATATTCAAGACAAGCAAGCAAATAAACAAGAAAAGTGTGGCCACCCTGCTTGCACAATTGCTCCCTCGCCTGGTTCTCACACTCTGTGGGTAGAAAGGAAAAAAAAAAAAAAAATTGGCCACAATTCAGAATGAGGCCCTGGAGGCTCAGAACCATAGGTGGCTTGTCCATGTCACTGGGTCACTCACTCACCAGCCACAACAGACTGGGTAGTCTAGATTCTAGAGGGTAGCCCCTATCTCTCTACCACGCTTCCCTGTCTCAGGTGAAACCCTCATTCCTCAGGGCCCCCCAGAGCACCCAGCTTGGTGTTCAGTAGATGGCAGCAAGTCCAGTGGTTTCCTGACCAAGAGGTAGAGTCTGAACAATGCAGGAGTGGCAGAGAGAAAGGGGTGCCTCGTGACCCGAGCAGTGTGTCTAGGACAAGTGAGAGAAAAGTCAGTGGGCAAACAGATAGCCAAGGTGAGCTGGACGGGCCATTTATGCTGATGCGTGAGCAATGGGGAGCCACTGCAGGCTGTAGAGAGAGGGCTATCTCCAAAAGACAACCGTCACTGTAAGAGACTTCCTCACCCAGGCCAGAACCTCGGGCTTCCCCAGCTCAGAGGCTGCAGCTCCGGATGTGGACTCCAGAGGGACTGCTCCCCCTAGCAGGCTGAGGAACAGAGAGGGCTGCTTTGAGGCTCTACACATGTTTACTCTGGAGTCCACCCTCCTGAGGAGAGGCTGGGCAGAAATGGCAGACCCCAGGGTGGCAAACTGAATATGTCCCCTCAGGGGCTTCCTGCATCCCAGGCTTGGCAGGGCCTTCACTCTGCCAGCCCCAAAGGAGGGAGGAGTGGATCCCTGCTGTCGGGGCCCCGCCCTGCTCAGGGGAGCCATGGCATACCCAGACAGAAGACAGCTCCCCAGACAGAGCCAGCGCGTCAGCATTTCTGGAGATACGGAGGAGAGGTCTGAGCGGTTAGTGAGATAGCCCTCTGCAAGGACAGCCAATGAGACGGGGAGGAGATTCCTCTGAGGGGCCCAGTGGGGCAGCAGCCTGGGCACCCAGCCACCAGGGAGCGCTTAGCAGGCCACATTCCTCGCATGCTACAGGAGGCACGTGTCAGGGGCAGAGGGAACCTGCCCTGCCCCTCCCAGTCAGCAGCACCATTTATAGCCTGGGGCTCCAGTGAGAGCCCCAGGCCCAGCTTCCACCAAGACACCTGACAAGAGAACATCACCCCACTGGGATGCAGACCCACTATGGGCCCTCCAGACCAGCAGTGCTATGGGCTCCCTGGCCCAGATTTCTGGGTCCTTGATGTCTGACCCCAGAGCCCCTTGCTCATGACCCTCCCTGGCTGATGTCTTTCTAGATCCCCACCCCTCCTGATTCATGCCATGTCCCTGGTTGGATTAGTGTGGCCACGCTGATTACTAGATGTGCAGTTAGAACTGAGTTTGGGATAAACAGTGAGCGTTTAGTATAGCTATGTCCCATATGAAATTTAGCTGGGCAACTCGTGTGTTTCATGCGCTGAATCTGGCACCTCAATTTAGATGTTAAATCCCTCGATTCCACCTATGGTGGTAGGTGTTCCTTATGCCTAGTGGGTCAGACCTACTGGCTTTGGTCCTAAGGGACTCTGTCTTCCATTCTGTTCCAGTTTATCCATGACTGTGTAATAAATTACTCCAAAACTTGGAACAAAAATGGCTTGGTTACATGTCACAATTTTTAAAAAATAATTATTTAGTTTATTTTTTATTTATTCATTCATTGATTTTTAAATTTGACCAGAGAGAGACAGAGGGTGAGAGTGAGAGAGAGAGGAAGTGAGAAAGCAAGCCACCAGGTCCAGGACTCGAACCCTGTCGGCCATGTGGGAGGGTCCAGCGCCTTAACCAGCACACTACCCGCTGGTCCCCATGTCACGATTTTGTTGGTCGGGAATTTAGACAGGGTTCAGCTGGCAAATCTTCTAGTCATGTGCTTAAGGGGAGCAGCCATTCAAGTGTTTGGCTGGTGAATGGGGCCATCTGAAAGCTCCGTGCTGGCTTCACCCTCTTGTGTAGCGCCTTGGTAAGGATGTCTGGAAGACAGAGACCATTCAGGACTCATCCCCAGATGCCTCACATGCGGCCTCTGCAGCATGGCAGCCTTGGGTAACAGAACTTCTCCTGGGGTGGCTCCAAGCTCCCAGATTATGTGTGCTAAGGACGGACTGGACAGACTGTGCACCTCCTTAGGACTCAGCTTTGAAGCCCCCCCTCCCCCCGCATCACGCTGCCACATTCAGGTCCAAAATTAGACTCTCCTTCTCAATAAGAGGAGTAGCAAAAAGTGCAGCCATCTTTAATCTATCACTTACAGGGACCAGCAGTTGGCGTCATCTGTCACTTAGAGCTCGAGCACTGCTGAGCCCTGCACTCTGGCCTGACTCAGATCCTCATCACTGGTCAATATGCTTTTCAACCTCCTTCTGAACAATCTCCCTACCTCTGCCTTCAGATCTACCCTCAATTTCAGCTACCATAATACTTCATTTTTGTAAGATTCCAGTCTATCTCACTTATTGCTTAAGTATTTTCAGCAAGTCCCTCCTAGACTCTGAGCTCCCCAAGAGCAGGGATCAAGCCCATTAATTTATTTACTTTACTATTTATTTTCTTTATTCCATGAGAGCAAGAACTAGAGGGAGAGAGAAGGAAAGAGAGACAAGCACTTCCGACAGGGTGTTCACACCACAATCTACCCCCAACCCTGCAATCTCAACCTATCTGGATTATGGCATGGGCATGTGAACATAATCTCTATATATTCAAAGAATTCCCAGGACTCTTTCCACGTGGGTCCAGCAGTGTTACCACTGTGCCACCACTGGCCTTCCAGGTGCTTCCATTCCACTGGGGTACACCCAGCACCTAGCACAGAGCTTGGTGCCAAACAAGTACTCAGTAAATGTGGAATATTCACTCCACTACATTTACTGAGCACTTACTACATACCAGTATGTTTATTTATTCAATGCCTGAATGAATGAGCTAATGGACAGTACTCGAATTCCATGGCCTAATCTTCCTGAGCTTGGTGATATGCACCTCATCCTCCTTGGGCCTTATCACACTTTTCAAAATTCCTCAGATATGCTTCTTCCCTCAGCGCCTTCTCATTGGTTGCTCTCTCTCTCCCTCCTTGTGAACTCCTATGCACCCTTCATTGCCCTAGCCAGGTGTCACCTCAAACCTGAAGTCATCCTCAACCTGCCCTGTCCAGTTCCCACAGTTTGTTTTATTTTCCACATCATTCAATAATACATTGGTCTCAAATCCACATGGGATCCAGGACCGCAGATGTATGGTGTGGGTGAAAGGCTTCCTGACACCAGGGGTGGCTAAGCAGTAAGTGGGCATATTAGTACACATTTATGGAAACCAATAATGCCTCTCCCTCCTCTGTCTGAGCAGCATCCTCCAAAGCCAGGTTCCAACCTCACCTTTCCCGACCACCACTTCCCACAAGTGGGCACTGCCGTGCACCAGGCCCTGACTTCCTATTGCTGTTGGCCTGCACTTATTTGACCCTTACAGTATGCCACCAGCCACCACCATCCCTTCATCGTCCAGCTCCTAGCCCAGGATCCCCCACGAATAAGGCTGCAGTAGGTGCTGGGGACCACACCTGCTGCCCAGAGTTCACAGGCTGGTAGGGGTGATGGGCGAATGAAAAGCAGCACCAATACAGAGCCTGAGGGAGGAGAGGCAACCTGGGGGACCCCCACCCCCCACATCCTTCCTTGGGTGAAAGAAGTTGCCAAAGACATGAGGTCTGAAAGAGAAGGAATTTCTGTGTGGCCATTCCGGTCCTGGTTTTTTTTTCTCCCTCTCTCTCTCCCTCTCTCGGATGAACTCACATGCCCTTTGACAAAAATATATATATAGATAGAGAGAGAGAGAGAGAAGGAGGGAGGAAGAAGGAAGGAAGCTCATTTGGGCTAGAACATACAGCAGAGAGATGGAAGGGTTAAGGCAGGAAAGAAAGCCAGGGGCCAGAATGTGGAGGGCCTTCCTTCCCATCCAATAAGACCTTGAGGCTCTGGCAACACGAATGACCGACAGCAGCAGCCGACGTCAGCATTTCTGGAGATACGGAGGAGAGGTCTGAGCGGTTAGTGAGATAGCCCTCTGCAAGGACAGCCAATGAGACGGGGAGGAGATTCCTCTGAGGGGCCCAGTGGGGCAGCAGCCTGGGCACCCAGCCACCAGGGAGCGCTTAGCAGGCCACATTCCTCGCATGCTACAGGAGGCACGTGTCAGGGGCAGAGGGAACCTGCCCTGCCCCTCCCAGTCAGCAGCACCATTTATAGCCTGGGGCTCCAGTGAGAGCCCCAGGCCCAGCTTCCACCAAGACACCTGACAAGAGAACATCACCCCACTGGGATGCAGACCCACTATGGGCCCTCCAGACCAGCAGTGCTATGGGCTCCCTGGCCCAGATTTCTGGGTCCTTGATGTCTGACCCCAGAGCCCCTTGCTCATGACCCTCCCTGGCTGATGTCTTTCTAGATCCCCACCCCTCCTGATTCATGCCATGTCCCTGGTTGGATTAGTGTGGCCACGCTGATTACTAGATGTGCAGTTAGAACTGAGTTTGGGATAAACAGTGAGCGTTTAGTATAGCTATGTCCCATATGAAATTTAGCTGGGCAACTCGTGTGTTTCATGCGCTGAATCTGGCACCTCAATTTAGATGTTAAATCCCTCGATTCCACCTATGGTGGTAGGTGTTCCTTATGCCTAGTGGGTCAGACCTACTGGCTTTGGTCCTAAGGGACTCTGTCTTCCATTCTGTTCCAGTTTATCCATGACTGTGTAATAAATTACTCCAAAACTTGGAACAAAAATGGCTTGGTTACATGTCACAATTTTTAAAAAATAATTATTTAGTTTATTTTTTATTTATTCATTCATTGATTTTTAAATTTGACCAGAGAGAGACAGAGGGTGAGAGTGAGAGAGAGAGGAAGTGAGAAAGCAAGCCACC